TATGTACAATATTTGCATTTAAGAGACTTTATAGATGTATTAACAACTTTTAGAGGTGTCCACATAATAAATGGGAGCCTCTTGTTAATGTATGCACGTTCCGCCTTGCAAGAAGCGGATTGGAAGATCGCGTCGTGGGACGGACTTATGCAGCGGATCAAAAACCCAATGCAGAACAGATTTGCTTGCTTGCTTTCGCCTGTCGCCGTGTTAAGAGCACTCCAACTTGTGCTCACACGCTTACCATCAAAGCGATCGGTCATCTAAAACTCAAACACTTCAGTGAAACTTCGCGATCTTCAAAGAACTCTGAGTCTTGCAAACTCAGACTGTAGCAAAACTGCTCAAGCTTCTGGCGTCATCAAGAGACCAACCAATCCAACGAGGGGTCTCCCAAAAGGACGTCATCCAAACGTCACCTCAGCGACCAATCCGAAAGCTCCGGGGTTCCCTCAGCAGCCATCCAGGAAGCCTTCGTCAGTAACGGGAAATCACCTCAGCTTTTCAGCTGTCAACCAAGCAGAACGCAAGTAAACGAACAAAATCTTATCTCTGCTGAACTGGTGAACGAGCTAATTTAAGCAGTAAACATAAGCTAAAATTCTCTGCTTGGTGAATTCTCTCAGATGAATTTAAATAATTCGTGAAACGAGTCAGTAACTAAAAACTTCATGCAACTCCGTCAACTCTCATTCTAAAGAAACTGTATGTTTGTGTGTATGTGTGTTTTAGCTTAGTTTTGATGTAATCTAGAATAGCCAATAAAATTCATGTTTCATTTATAAAGAATCATTGTTTGGTGTCATATAATTTCAAGGTTAAAACCTTTGCCAAGATTACGTTACCTCGCTAAGAGCTTACAAATTATCATAATCATATTTACCTGTGGCCAAGGAAAATACATATTCAATTTGTTAAAATATACTGAGGTCACGGCTCGCTGGACGACCCTTGATTTAAAGTGTAAACTATCAGATTTGAATTCAGCTTTAATCAGGTTGACTCAGAATTTTCAGATTCGAGTCCTTTTAAAACCTGAATGAATTAATAAAAACTGTATGTGTGTGTGTATGTGTGTTTTAGCTTAGTTTTGATGTAATCTAGAATAGCCAATAAAATTCATGTTTCATTTATAAAGAATCATTGTTTGGTGTCATATAATTTTAAGGTTAAAACTTTTGCCAAAGATCCCTTGCTACCTAGCTCGTATCTTACTTATAACAATTACTATAATAGTTTACTTATAATAATTGTATTGACCGTGGCCAGGGAAATACAAAGTATTTTTAAAATATACTAAGAATCACCGGCTCGCTGGACGACCCTTGATTTAAAGTGTAAACTATCAGATTTGAATTCAGTTTTAATCAGGTTGACTCAGAATTTTCAGATTCGAGTCCTTTCAAAACCTGAGCTAGAAATAAAATTAATGATTAATTCCCTTATAGAATTAACGACTTACAAATGAGTTAATTTCATTACAATGCTCAATGCTTCTTTACACAAAGCTGACAATGTAAATGCTGCATGCAGAGCTACTGTACGCACATTCCCAGCAAGCACGTCCTGCAGCTTGGTGACGGGGTTGGCCACAGGCACTGGCGTGGACCCTGGAGGAAGGCTAAAGTCAGAATCCTTTGCACTGACACCAAACTCGATGGGCGGCACAGGAATGACATTGTCCACGTGAATATCCACTCCATTGACGGGAGTGATGGGTCCCTCCAGACGCTCCATGCCCTCAGAGCCCTTGCGGTTCTTCAGCGAGCGCTCATTGCCAATGGGGCCCGGTTTGTGTTCTTTGCTCTGCTCGGGCCCTGCATCTGAATCCTGAAGGACAGGACAGTTGAACTTTAGTCTCAGGCTCAGCTCACTGACTGAGGCACGCAAAAATACTTCTTAGAAAAGAACGACCTGTACCTCTGAATTGGGTTCGCTTCCCGTGTAAGAAACCTGCTTTGTCCATGAATCGCCACCTAAAGATTGGACAGTCAGAGCTTCAGGAGGAAAACAAAGTAATTTAGAATCAGTCTCTTAAAAATGAATGCACTTGATATCGGTTGTTATCAGTATTACCTGTGCTGTTTGTCTCCCAGATCTCTGTTCCCAAGTTGGTGGAGAGCGTCTCCTCGGGCTGCTCGATGGACATGCTGCCTTGCTTCTTGGCAAAACGGGGAGGCATTTTCGATGCAATTGTTCTATTCTTTACCGAACCCTTCAGGTGCACAAACCAAATAACTACAATATCCACTCAGGAGATACTTCATGCAGTTAAACAACTGAAGTGATCATCTTTCTGGTTATCAGATGTGTCTAAACATCAGGAAATAGAGGCCATGATTACTTACTGGAGGACCCTGATCCTTCCTCCTGCGATCATCATCCTGTGGGCGGCGCTGTTTTTTGGACAGAGCTTCCTGGAAAACCTCTGGACTGGGTACAGAAGCTCCTGAGTCACTCTCAACTGCGAGGAAACACAAGCGACAGCTCCTTTAGATCCAGTACTGAAGAACACCACACAAGTCACACTTGAAAACAAATTATGTCTACCATTTTTTCTCATTTTTATGGAAAAAGTGGTATCGGTGCATCCCTAATTGTAAGTGACTCATAATTTATAATATATCAAAGCTGTACATTTCTAGCCCAAAATCTATGAGGATAATAACCAATAATGCAGTGATATGTACAATCTGAATGTAAAATTGAAAAAAAATGTTGCTTCAAATCATGCGTGCATGATTTATCCAGCTACATGCAGTGTAATTCATACAGATCCACACATTTCACTCTCTTTGTGTGACAAAATTGCTTAATTTTCACATACAAGTCCTCTATTGTATATATAGCATGCAGTTTCAGGATAAGTGTCACCGTGGATAAGTGCTGGAGATGAGAGCACATTGAATAGATTCTGACTCTCTCTGAGCTAGAAAGAGCCAAGGTGGGGATGGCAAATACAGCTTTTAATTTGAGCCCTGCTTTGATGTGCTATATGAGGTGGATCAAAGACCACACTGATGTGTCTGTCCTATGGCACAGATGTCGGGAGAAATTCCAGTCAATATATTGTGAAAAGAATAAACAAATAAGTTTGTAATGTGCCACATGAGCTAAGATGAACGTTTGTTTTGACTTTTTTTTTTAAGTCTCATCATGTTCAAAGTATGTAAGTTTTAATTTTCAGCTGAGCTTGGCACAGTTGGCAATTATAAGGATTACTGTGTGCTTTTGAGGGCAGACAAACTACAATGTAACTGATTTGATGCAAAAGGAAACTTATTTCATCTTTATTGCTCTGTAATGGAACATTGATTGAACCTTACCCAAATACCGTATCAATTCAGCAGATCCCTTACCAATACAATTGGAAACCATTATACAGTTTTTTTCCAGGATTATTATTATTATTATTATTATTATTATTATTATATTGTTGTATATATATATGTCACAAATTCAGCCTCTGTGGCTCCCTCCGAATCACCACCGGAGGGAACCATCACTGGAGTACTGAGCGATCCCTTCGGACTCCAATTCCCACAATGCCCTATGCCAGAGACTAATCACCTGCACAGGTGTTGCCTATTGCCCGGTCTATTTAAACTGTGCCTTCCCTGCTCTCTTTGCGAAGTCTTGTTTTGCCTTGCAGACATTTCTGAGCATTTCCCCTGTGTTGAGTATCTGTTGATTACCTGGACTGTTTACCCGTTTATGATTGTTTGCTGCCTACCTATTCTGACCCTGCCTGCCTTGTTGATTCCTGTTATTGTCTGTCTGCCGCCTGCCTCGACCCTGATCACGAACATTGTTTACGATTCTGCCCAGCCTTCGTTGTGTCTGACACCTGTTACCGATCTATGCCTGTATGACCTGCCTTGTGAACTAATAAAGCTGCACATGGATCCTAACGCCACTGCCTCTTTGTTACAGCATCTCATTTTTATTTGTGGAAAAAAATAAATATGGTGTGTACCTTGACTAAAGCCTATCACCCATAAGACCCCTATGTATGTTTCATAAAATCCCTGATCATTTCAGTCCACCCACTAGAGATTTTGTTGCATATTTGAGCATGGATTGCATCGTGGACCTGCCACAATGTACTAAAGGATGGAGCAGTGCCAGCTACTGTTTTGGTCCCAACAGCAAACCTGCAACCCATGAGTAAGTGTTGTTACTCAGTTCAAATGTGAGGAGGGTGATGCATAAGACTCTTAAATGTACCTTGGAAAAAAATGTCCCCTTTAGTTCTGTAGTTCTGAAGGTTACAGAGAGAATGGAATATTGTGTATTACTGTGTTGTGTGGGAAAAAAAATAAATATCAGGTAAAAAATATTAAATGTTTATTTGATATTTGTGATCAGATATTTGTGGGAAAATATGATGCATAAAACCTGTGATGCCTTCCAAGTGATACACACTTTCAAATGTGTCTCTTTAATATGCATCTGCTTAATGGGTGTCAGATATTATTATTATTTTTTTTTTATTTTTTTTTTTATAAATTACAAAAAGGTACATTTAAAAAGTAAACTGGCATTATATTTATTGGATATATATTCGGTATATTATCTGAAACCTTTCTGTATTTACCTATTCACATATCATTGCAGAAAGCCTTGCCTGTTTACATCAGCTCAAAGCCACTAGTGTACAGCTGTCTCCTTTTACAGAAACTCCAGTTCATATTTATTCAGTACAGTCTGAAGTTTAAATCACTTTCATTAGTTGCGAAGACAACATTGCAACTGCAAGATACTAGAAACACCTGAAGATCTGATTGCCCTGAATGTCAATAATCAATGATTAGTTTTAAATATATTTTGAAAAAGTTTGGTGCAATGTTGGGAAAGCTATGTTTTAAACATGTAGATTAATATGTAGCTTTACATCTAAACACATAATTGTCTAAATTGATAACTTAAAGGTCCAAAATGCCACACAGGATCTCAAATCAGTGAACTGGTTCCATAAACCAAAATCAGACTTAAGGCTATGTGGCGGGGTTTGCACTTAACTGGTTTGGGAGAGAAAAAATCATGTGGGGGGAGAAAAAAATAATAAAATTGTCACACGCTAACAAATAAAGGCTCCTTTAGATTATTAAAATATTAAGAACATTTTAATAATCTAAAGAACCTATTTCCACTATAAACAACCATTTGTGCAATGGATGTTAAAGGTTCATGGAAACACAGATGTATTTTTAAGAGTGTACTGGAAATGCTACATTATTTTAAAAACAACTGAACTACTGTAATATTACTGGAAAATTTGCTAAAGGTAATGTTAGTTAAAGGTGACATATGAAAATCTGACTTTTCCAGGTTTTAATTGCTATAATCAGGTCCCTGGTGCATATATCAACCAAGGAAACGTGAAAAAGATTAACCCAGCAACTTTGTTTTTGGTAAGCCTTTTTCTGCAAGCATCTGAGAAAACGAGCACGTCTGATTTTGCTCCCTTGGTGACGTGGGAAAGGGATCTCATTACAATATTATCGCCCCTTAATCTGTAAGTTTTCACCCACAGCGCCATCATTTTGATTTTGCAAGCGACAACGGTGTACCAGCACTAATGCCATGGTGAAAGTTTGAGCAAAACATGCTAACTGTTCTGTCTTTGGCTGCACAGACGAGCACAGAACACTTTTTAGAGTCCCAGCCTCAGAGGAGACAACAGAGCAGTGGAACTATTGATTTATGTACTGTATATTGCTGCTGCCACACAGATCTAAAATAAACATGCGATTTATTTGACTTATATTACATATTGTAAAAACGGGCATAATATGTCTCCTTTAAGTACTTTCAGGTAATTCTTAACTCTGGTTTGATGTAACCAGCTCATTTTCTCTTAGAAGTGCTGTTACAGCAGAAACATTTTACCAAGAACTGACAAGATGGATGGTGAATGAAATGTTAATGGATTCAAACTCCTTACCCCATGTCTGGGCACCATTACAGAGATAGCAAAGTGAAAACATCAACTGCAAAAATTATTGAATGCCACAGTTAAAAGTCAAAGTAAAGACAAAATGTGTAGAGAAAACAAAAGCAAAATAATATATCCCTCCTTATTTTGGCATTTGGGATATTGCATCAATGCATGTGTTATTTCATACAACGCCTCCTCCTTTTCCTCCTGACAGTACCACGCCTCCACCTCCTTGTCTTTCTCCCTGCGTGCCTTCCCTTACATTACTCTTGGCCAGTATTCCTGCCAAGACTAATGATTGCACAAGGACAGTTTTTTTTCACACCCATGGACCTATTAGCATTTTTAGCCAAAGCATAAATATACAGTACTTTCACCATATTTGCATTCTATGTCATGTTTCTTGCAGCTTTTGTAGAGTTTTGCAATATCATTGAAACCACATCAATATTGTAAGCAAATTCACAAACAGCTTCACTAACACTTTGTGACAAATGCACTAAATTATAGGGCGCCAAGTGTAATCTGACTAATTTAATGGACTGAATTAATTAATCATTACACTTTAATGCATTTCAAACACAGAAGGACAAAAGCAGTTGTATTTTGTCAGCAGAAATGTGAAGTCAGTACTTTATTTTGTGCATAAAACTGATTTTGATTTAAAACTGAAAGTGATTTTGTACACAGAATTCCTTTCATTTCATGCACATAATGGTGAATATACTTGTGTAGATAACAGAAAAAAAGTATTTTGTGAACAAAAATGCTTGTCACATCACAAAATGCTCAATCTTTGAATGAGAGGGGTTAAAATTATTAAAATGATATATGCCTTCGATTTCATCATTCAAAAAAAAAAATTCCACAAAATGCATTTTGTCCATGAAATAACTGTTCTGTAAATATCTTTTTGATGCCAAGGACCCCCAAATGTGTAGGCAAATGTATAGGCAGCTATATATTTTCACATATAAATACCCTTTTTTTTCTGTGCCAATGAGCAAAATATTATCTGAAAATAAATCAAAAATTGTTGACAAGATAAAATAATTATGATTAATCAGGTATAACCAATAATAATGCAAAATTCTTATATTCTTTAATATTTTCTTACATTATTAAAAAAAATTTATTCTACCTCTTTCATGGACAAAATACATTCATGATGTACAGTCTCAGCAAAGTATGCTAGATCATAGTAGCCTGCTGCATCCAGGAACTAAAAACTGACCATCTGTACAAGATCTGGACTTGCTGTATGCAAATTGCATTCAAGACATATTTTATGGCTGCGTTTGCGCCATTAACCGATTAACCTTTATTGAACTGGACATTAAAACAACACAGAAAGCACATGCAAATAAACAGTGTTGCCAGTGGCACACTTCATTCTCTTTGAATTGCCCTTATGATGCAGTTTAAACCCTACTGTAATAATTTTAACTGCCCAACATTATATTTCTAAAAAAAAAAAAAAAATCAATAGTCTCGATTTATTAGTTTAAAATTGAGCCATAAAGGAAATATATGCTGTCATGTGATACTGAGCTTTTCTCGTCAACATGTTGTGGCGGCTTTGCATAATAAATTGCAGGGCTTAGCAGACATGGCCAATTGATTAGCAAATTAAGAGGCGCTCGGTTATGTGTGCACACCCTTACCAAAAAGTAGTATACTTCAAGTTTATTTTAGTAAGTATACTTAAGTAAAGTTCAAGTATATTTTTAAGTATACTTTATGTAGTAAGTATACAAATATCAGTGTACTAGTAGTATACTTGTAAGTGCACTATTTCTATACTCCTTGGGACTAAATTGGCCCACTTTCTAATATATAAAAGTATACTTTTAAGTATAACAGTAGTAAACTTTAAGTACACAACTAGTTTACAACA